CCAGAAGTGACTCGAACCGGTCCGGTCGTGATGGTCAAGCGGATTAAGGCGTCCCTGTACATACCAGTTGTGGGAGTATGGGTTCGAGTCACTTCTGGGGTGTGAGTTTTCAGTTGTATATAGTCCTGGGGACCATTCAGGCTTGTTTGCATTTGTGTTCCTCACGTGTGCCCCAAAGAATGAGGTGATTTGATAAAATGCTATGCCCAAGATTACCATCCGAGTGCCGGCGGGGAAGTGGTTCATATAGCCTCGGCTATCACTTCCTTTTGTCCGGTCGTGATGGTCAAGCGGATTAAGGCGTCCCTGTACATACCAGTTGTGGGAGTATGGGTTCGAGTCACTTCTGGGGTGTGAGTTTTCAGTTGTATATAGTCCTGGGGACCATTCAGGTGGTCACGGAATTTACTTCGATAACTTTCGGTGGAGAGAAGGTAGGCGTCCAACACTGTTTGTTTCAGAGTCTGGTAGTCATTCTCAGACGCCAAAGTACTGAGTGTAACTGCAGCTCTACCTGTAAGATGTACTCTGAGAAGGGTTGCCCATTGGTCGGCAGGCCAACTAAGTTGATTAGCAAGGGTTTCAAAGGTGGTGAAAAACACATCAACTTCTGTCTCTACGAATGGTGGCATTAACTTACTTGCATGTGATATATTGAAACTGACGGGAAGATTGGCGGTAGCTTGCTGGCGTTGAGCAAGGTGTGAAGTTTCCAACGCGAATTCTCGTTGACGACATTCCATAGCCAGAGTTGTTTGTTGTTTGTCATGTTCGTGTTGCATCTCCAATTGGCGTTGTTTTGTTTCAAGCTGTATTCGTTCCCGCTCACGGAGTAAGGCAATCTCACGTTCTTGTTCTTCCTTTCTTATGGCAGCTGCTTCCCTTTGCTGCTCGCATTCGATCTTGGCCAGCTCTATTTTGAGTTTCATCGTTGCCAAATCAGTTTTATCTGCAATAAAGTAAGTTTCGTGAGTTTCAGAGTCTATCTTACCTTCCTCTAAGAGCTGATCCAGTAACAGGTTATGTATTTCATTTTTGTTGGCTTGGTAGGGAACTTGTAGTTGATACTCATGTGCAAGAGATTGTAATTCAGTCCTCTTGGCATGACTTAAGGTCCTGCACCTGCTGGATCTGCACGGAAAGCTTGGAGACGAAACATGGTGAAATTAGCAAATAAATGCACAACGAATATTCGGTTGTGATATGGTGAATGTCAGAAACAGGACAACGTGGCAACTGGTACCTATCCTGTGGAATCGTTAACAATTAATGTTAATTTCAAGATGATAAATGATTAATAAATCAAGGTCGCAGGGAATCTTGTACCCGGTACTCATGTAAGAGGATAAGGGCAAGAAAATCCTACTAAACAAGCGAAACTGAGTTTCTTAAATAAATGAAACAGTTAATTGCCTCAAAAGTAAAATTGGTAGTCCAAGAATGTAGGCATACCTTGCCGAGTCTCTATAGGAAGCAAGCAAGTTTTTCCCACTGAAATTAATATGAAACTTACAGAATTAGCGAACTTTTGTGCTCTGAAAAAGAAGGCTAATTCCCTACCAATGTAAATATCATCATCTCTGACTGACGTGTAGGGGTGCGAGGTGTCAACTGGTGACGAGAACTGCTGCTGAGGTCCCAATTCAGCAACTAAAGTTCGTGCGAGAGGAACTATGGCCCTCTTTATCCTCCTACTGTCAGATTGCAGAAGATTAGGTGCACTTGACCCGGGGACAGACCACAGTACCAGGGTACCAATATGATGATCTGCCGAAAATATGAGAAATATCCTAGGGACAAAAGATGGTAAACACGAGTAATATCACGGAGGGAGAGATGACCAATTAAGAGAATGACTGAGGCCTACAGTCACCACGTAATCCAAAGTTGTCTCACCTTCACCATATGCTACTCTCGGAATGCACAATACACACAGCACCATATGAAAATAAAATTGAAAATTGAAAATAGTGAAAAGCTACGTTACCAAAGCCAAATACGCTTACCATAAATTTACTACTTGGCACCAGTACCTGAGTGAAGCTCCTAGGACAGGCCCCCACGTTATGTGACGGTAAAGCGTTGGTGTTCGGCTGTTTCAAAAGCTAGGGGCAGGGCCTCGTCACATAATCAAAAAAAAAGAGAAAAGTTGGTCCTTTCATCTGTGGTAAGGTAATGGGAAGACTGACAAAACACAAGTATATAAACAATGAAATTTTAATTACTCTAGAAAAACAAGACATGAATAAAGGCAATCTCATAAAAATATGCAGGATAAGTCAACAAACAAAATAACATGAATAATCACTGACAAATGAAAAGTTACGCTAAGACAAGTAAGTTACAGTGATAGCAAATTAAATATAAGTGCTGGAATACTGGCTTCGAGCTGCCACCTTCCTTAGTACACGAAAACCAAGGCTTAGTCTACCAGCGAGAGATGTCAACTGCATGGAGCATTGAGATATTCTGACGAGACTGGAGCACTGCAGCCCAGACGTCGACTTGTGGTGGTGGCGGAGGGCAGGTGCGACGAGACACCAGCCAATCAGCAACAGGCAGGCAAAGGATGAGCAGTTAGCTGGTTACGGCGGTGGCCAGGTGTTGGGGTACGATTTGCTCTCTGGGCAAAACGTTTGGCGATACTGGGTGAATCTATCTTGTATATAGTATCTTGTATTTTGACGTAATTATGTAGGGAAGAGCAGGCTCAATCTCTGTTGAAAGAGATTATCGTCACAATATATATATATATATATATATATATATATATATATATATATATATATATATATATATATATATATATATATATATATATATATATATATATATATATATATATATATATATATATATATATATATATATATATATATATATATATATATATATATATATATATATATATATATATATATATATATATATATATATATATATATATATATATATATATATATATATATATATATATATATATATATATATATATATATATATATATATATATATATATATATATATATATATATATATATATATATATATATATATATATATATATATATATATATATATATATATATATATATATATATATATATATATATATATATATATATATATATATATATATATATATATATATATATATATATATATATATATATATATATATATATATATATATATATATATATATATATATATATATATATATATATATATATATATATATATACATATATATATATATATATATATATATATATATATATATATATATATATATATATATATATATATATATATATATATATATAGCCACTTACATCAACTGGCAGGTGTACATGATCCCAATTTTACATGCTGTGCCACAGAGTGGGCCTCTCGTGCTGGCCCATCACCTCAACCACCATACCCAAAAGCCCACAAGCAATCCAGCTGGGATGGCCCCATTGTAGACCAAGTTGCTGCAGAGTGCTTGGGTGCTGCAACAACACAACACGACATTGCTCACCTCACAGCAGTAGCAGCCCCACATGCAGGAGATTTCCTGTTAGCAACCCTAATGTCGGCAACTGGCACGCGTCTCACACCACACGCCCTCCGAATTGCTGTGGCCCTTCGCCTTGCTGCCCCAATCCACACCAGATATAGGTGTATTTGCGGCGAGGTGGTGGCTGTCAGGTACGGCCACCATGGCCTACTCTGCCAAAGCACAGGGGGATGGCACTCGAGGCACAGTGAAGTTAACGACATCATCAAGAGGAGCCTCACCACAGCTGGATGCCCAGCTGAAAGAGAGCCCCGTTACCTAACGCCCCGTAACTCTGATTCTCTTATTGGTCGCCCGGATGGTATCACAGTGAACCCCTGGAAGAATGGCAAGCAGTTGGTATGGGACTACACGTGCGTATCAACCCTGGCTAACACCTACATTAACCTCAGTGTTGCACAACCAGGTGGCGCTGCCACCCACAGGGAAGCAGCCAAATCCCGTAAGTATAGAGAACTGGATCACCACTATAATTTTGTCCCCATTGCTTCTGAGACACTCGGCGCCTGGGGTAAAAGTGCTACCAGTTTTTTGAAGGAACTGGGTTCTACGCTCATTGAAACAACAAGGGACCCTAGAGCTGCCAGTTTTCTTTTCCAGCGCCTCAGCGTGGCGATACAGAGGGGAAATGCGCACTGCATCCAGGGTTCCTGCCCGCCATCTGAGGAGCTGGAGGAACTCGACAACCTATGATAACCATCTTCGTAACCTATATGTAACTCCTTTTTTGTAACAAAGTTCAAATAAAGCAAATATATATGTGTGCATACAAAAGAATGGGGGTGGTAGGAGAAGATAATATTAGTGTTCAGTGAGAATCCACAAGGTCTCCTCTGAATACTTTTTATTTTCTTCTCCGAGGCTATAGGTCATACATATATATATAATATATATATATATATATATATATATATATATATATATATATATATATATATATATATATATATATATATATATATATATATATATATATATATATATATATACATATATATATATATATATATATATATATATATATATATATATATATATATATATATATATATATATATATGAAATACAAACAGACCACTGTTTAATTCCCTTTGACTCTCAATATTATTTTTGTGTATTCACTTAACCCTGCAGTATTTTTTTCCCTAATATACTGTGCCCAGTACAGTTCATTCCCTTTGTATTATTTTACTGTCTCTTCCCATTACATCGTCTGACCTTTTCAATCCTTAAATTGTACACTTTCTTTCACCATTACCAAATTCTTTACATGTAGACACTTTCTGATATAACTGTTTCATGTGACTGCCAGAATGTCAGGACAGACAAGTTTTGTATAATATAGGCTGCAGGTATGTAGAGAACTACGAACATATTTTAAATATAATTTTTCTCGTAAATTCTTCATTATTCATATCATTGACATGGTGTTTTGCAGGCTTGTCGTGGAGAGCGTCTGGACAATGGCGTGACACTGGAACGCTCTCGACCTACTGTTGAAACTGACTCCGGTTACTTGTCCCACAGAAATCCGGTAGCGCCTGACTTTCTAATCTGCTGGTCCACCGTACCAGGTAACTTAGGCATAATTGTATAGAACAGCTATCCCTCAGCTCATTAGAGCTTTGTACCTAGGTGCTTCTTATGGCAATATATGGAATATAATATATACTATTTTGTGAAGAAAGTGTGTTAGTAAGGTTTACTAGCCAAAATATATGATTCTGTGGGAAAATGGTTGCAGTGATGTGTTAGAGAGTGTGTGTGAAGAACAGTGGAAGTTGGGTTTGAACCCTGGGCCAGGAAGGATTGCCTGGATCCCGGTTCTTAACTGTTTGCCTGTGTTAACTCGGCAATAATTATGGACCTGGTGTAAAGAGATCTCTGGATTGTGGTCCATTGAAAACTGGCAGGTTAAAGGTTAAGATGAACCATGGGAGGGAAGAGCTGTTAGCCTGTTAACAGGAGTCATAAATTATCTGCACATGTTCCCTCGTGTATAAAAACTAAAAAATAATAAATATTTTCTGACACTCAAGAAGCAGCTCTTCCCTTCAGTTGTCTATGATGATTAAATAAATGCATGATATCAGTTAGCGGGTGCTCTGTGCTTAGAAAGGTGGGCATACTGGAAGACAGTAAGAATGAGACAAAAGGGAGTTAAAAATGGAACCTAAGAATAAGGTTTAAAGGTAAAGTGAGAAAAAATGTGGCTATAAATAATGGGAAATTCTGTATAAAGATAAGAAAACTTAGCCAAGCTTCTCAAATTACCGGGGAAATGTTTGTGAGGAGCACTTCTTTAGGCCTATTCAATGAATGTGAATTTAACTTTTCTCAAACCATGATTAATTTCAGGTTATTATTCATGGCGCGGCAGTTTCAACGGTTCCTGGTTCATACAGTCGTTGGTTCATGTCTTGGGCAAGGAATACACCCATGAAGATTTGCTGTCCATGATGATAAATGTCAATAGATATATGATTATTAACTTTGAATCCATCTGCCCTAGTGAGTATTTCCTTTAAATTGAGTATGTACGCTGGAATAGGAATATGCCTAATTCAATCATACCAATTTATGATTTATAGCAATTTGCCATAAGAATATGGTAATTATCTGTACAATAGTCAGATAAAAATCAATATGTGGTTTGATGCAGGTAAAAGTTAAATTTATGAGCGTTAGCCACTCGATAATTTCATGTAGTAAGCTTCAACTTCCCCAGGACATCGTGGAAGCCAAACTGAGAGTCAAACCTTCTTACAACATCAGTTTAGCCGGAATCGTTTCTAAACACCCTTGCTCCAGCCTTATGGAAAATTCTTTATCCAGCCTAGTATGATCATCAGGAGGTATCAGCCCACTCAAAACCTCTTTCAAACAATATTTTATGCTAGTCAATACTAGGTGGTAGAACCAGTTTTGTACACAGGCAGCCATTACTCGCCTTATTCCTGTCCCAGAGGTTTTACCCTAGATGGCCTTCAGGTCGGCAAAATGCATATCTGTAAGATATGTAGTAGGTGATTCATTCCAAGACAATTTGTGGCTGGGGCTGTGAACCTATGCTTCACAGATACTCCACGGTAGTGTGGTTTCAGGGTTTTACGAATCTCTTGAGCTTTTACCAAAACATTATTGACATATTATTTTTCTGGTCATTCAGTTGGGGTTTTTCTTCCTCTATGAGTTGACCCTAACTCTCTCAGGGCCTAGTGATCATGACCCTGTTCACAGATGTTTGAGTTAAATGCATTCGTGATTCATTTGAACTTATGGGTCTTGATTGTTAGTGTTTTGACCTTTTTTTCAGTAATGAGTATGTCTTCTCCTTTTCTTATTTGTGATATACTAGATTAGGATATGACACACCGAGGATACGAGTCTTAAAATCTTGTCACGCCTTTAGACTTTGTTCCTGAGACAATTTCTATTACCAGTGGCAGGAGTGGTGCTCATGCATAACACCATGACTGTGGCAGGAGTGGTGGTTAAGCATGGCACCATGACTGGCAGGACCAGTGGTCAAGTAACCAGCCTCTGGTAGTAACAGAATAACTGAATTGAGAAGTGTATTTTTACAAGTTCAAACCATATATTTTGGCGTGTGAAAAATGTTGATAAAGGAGGTGTTGACTTGGAACACCTCCTGGTGTTCCAAGTCAAACTTAAATGGCTGAATATATAAAGAGCATCAATCATTTATATTATTGTAGTTAAAAGATTAAGGATGAATAAGATTCTTATGCCCAGTATTGCTAACTGTATAACACTTTTGCAATACTTTATATTTGTAGATTTTTCTTAACTACAAAATTTTCTTTGTATCTTTCTAAAATTTGTATTAGCTAATTATCTAACAACCAAGCAGGTTTACATTTGCATTATAGCTAAATGTCATATGATGCATGTACATAGCCGCATAGGCAAAATATACAAATTTTGATTGAAACATGTTTCATATGCAGTACATGTTATATGATAAACATATTCCACATTCACTGCAAGATATGGTTTGTCTTTTTGATAGATATGTTACCGCAGATTCTTTTTTCAGAGGATTGAATATTGGTAGATCTATAAAAAGTTTTAATAAATCTCTTGTGAGGTAGCAATTGACTATCCACATAAGGAAAGATATTTAGGGATTCATGAAAGACCTAAAGTGGGCAAAAATCAACCAGTATCATTATAAACTTTAGCAACGGTTGTGAGACTAACCTTGTTATACCTTATAGTAAGTGGAGGAACAGCAGCTGCCTGTTCTGGACAGCAATCTTCACAATTTGGAAATGTAATGTTTTTTAAATACTGAGCAATTATTCATATTCATGAGGAAATCTTCCCATTCAATCTTTGTATAGGAGAAGTTCTAATCTTTTCAGTTATAGATAGATTGTGTCCGGATGGTATCATACCAGCCCTTGTATAAGGTACTGTACTGACACATTGTCAGTACAGTACAGTCTTTGATATTCCTTAGATTGTTATGTTGCTCAGTTTGTGTTCCCAAGTGAGCACGATGACACCAATCAAAATAATTATATTTTGATCAGAATGGTTTTCATATTAGGAAATATATCTGATACTAAAAATAATTTTCTCCCATACTCATATTGATGAGTTTACTTTTCACTTTAATTTAAATATCTTTCATCCTAAACCTGCTTCCAATACTATTAGCACTGCCTCCACTTCATATCTTAACTCAAAACCCTTGCTAATACCTTTCGTCCTCTTGACATAAATCTCGCCTTTCGACAAACTAACACTCTTCGTAGCAATCTAATTCACACTGCTCATCCTGCTTCAAATGCTTCTGATGTCTACTCTATTTCCTGTTCGTCTTGTCCTCTCCAATACTTTGGTGAAACTGGCCGTACACTAAATGACAGACTTAAGGAACACAAAAGAAGTGTTATGTCTGCAAATACAAACAATGGTCTCTTCTGTCATTTTAGGGATTCTAATCATCTTATTGATTGGTCTTCCTCTAAAATAATCTTTCCTGCCACTACACAGACGCCGTTATGTCGAATCGGCTCATATACACAACCTACCCAACATGAACCTGAGTCCTGGCTTTGTTGCTGTTGACTTTTCTCTTTCTCAGTATATACTTAAATGTTCTAAACTTTTTAACAAACGTGACCTAACATAAGCGAAGCCTTCATTTTATCTTCCTTTGTCTTTCTATTGTTTTCTCTTACGATCCAATTTTTTATTCCTGTAATTACCGCCTTTATTTCACCTTACTTTCCGTACCATTTGCCTTGCTCTTATCATCTAAGATTTCCATCTCCTCACCTCTCTCTTGCCTACTTAATGCCCTTGCTTCCCTCGTCTCACATGTTACAGCCCCGCTCCTGTGCCAGGTAAGTCAACAACGGGCTCACCATAGCCCGTGCTACTTGGAACTTTTTGTTCCCAGTACCTGAATTTTAAACAACAACAACAACAACCTCGTCACATCACTATCGACTTCATAATGGTCCAGGACGGACGTCGTCGTCTCTTCAATTTTTAGTGTGTGGTTTTGTCAACTGTTTACTTTTCCTTAGCTTTGTAAATGAGTTAGTAACCAAAATTTAGGTCACAGCTTTGCATGTTTAAGTTACATACAATATGCATTCTTTGTGCAAAGGGATTTCTATGCTGAATTTGAATTTAGTTTGCATGGTATGTCTTCCAGAGTAGCAAATGAAAGGAAAACCCTTGATAAGGATACTCATGTAATGTGGCATCCGTTGACGTCATTGGTTGCGTTGACTGCATGTAGTCGATCTATCGCAATGCATTTCCAGACATTCTTATTGTACACCAGAGGTTGGTGTCTTATATTTGTTATTGTGACCATATGTATACAGTCAAAAACTAACCTATAACTTATATGAAAACTTATTAAAGAACTCTTTCAAAGATGGATCTAGACAGTAAATTGTCACCAGAGGACCACATAATTTATTTTGTCTGGGACAGAAAACCTGTACTTAGCTTATCAAGATGCCTAGGCCAGCGATGTGGACCTGTGGCACACATGCCTAAAGTGGGATGATCAATAATTTTGCCGGCATGTGACGTGCAATGACAAATGAAGTAGTGAATGATTTTTTACAAACTTGGAACAGTAAGACCTGTTCACAAGCATCTCCTGCCTGACTTTAACGACAAATTACAGGGATCTACCAAAACATAAATAAGCAGCTGAACTACATTTTCCTCTTAAATTTCCTTAGTATTGTTAATAATTTATAAATTTCACTTCTTTGGAGTTACTAGTTATTATTTAAACATAATATCTGCAGCTAAACAATTGAAAACAAACAAGAAGAGTTATTGGTTGCCTAAACAGACTGCTTTTATAATAATAAATTATAATCTGCAGCTTAAAATTCACATAGGTATGCCAGATGATGTTTATAGAATTTGGGCAATTTAGATGTGCCCAAATTCTCTACTTGGGCACGATCTCAAAAACTATTTGCCACCCCCGCCCTAGGCCAACTATTAACCTTCCCCAGAGTGCAACCCCACAACAATTACCTAACTCCTTGGAACCTATTTTACTTCTAGAGTGAGTAGTTTTATCAGGTGAAAGGAAACGTGGCCAAATTTATTCTGTCTTGTCTGGGAATTGAACCCTGGTCCCTTGGTTCTGAGTCGAGAAAATAGACCACTGTGCTAGAGGTCTGTGCAAGGAGTTGATACTTGCAAACTTCAAAATTGCGTTTAATGAAATATATGAAATGGGAAACATTAGTGAAACTATTCATGACATTTATGAGACGGAAATTCGAATATACAGTAGTTGTGTTCTGTCCATATCTAAAAAAAAAAAAAACTTCAACAATATTGGAAAGGTATAGTCATGCTTCAAATGACTTCCAAACATTAAAAAGCAGGAGCAATGATTTGATTTTACGAACACAGACAAATTCACAACAAGAATCGACAACGTTGTCCTTATCAACTCATTGCCGTATGGTATTGTCGACATATACAATATCATATACATATACAATATATATACACATATACTATACACACGACCTAATCCCCTTTCAAAATTTGATGTTTTCATAATTTCTTCCCCTCACTACGGGCAAACTTTAATTAATAAAACAATGAAGTTTATAATTATAAACTATATTAATAATTATACAATTTCTCCCAATAACTGAAAAAATGTTTTATGATATAAAAATAGTGTTTTATCATTTTATGCACAGTTGGAAAGGGACCTAAATACAGTGCAAAGTTTTAGGGATAATGTGACTGCCGGATTAACGTAAAATAACATTTGAAATATGACATTATATTCATCAAAGGTATTTTAATATTTAAAGGGAAACTCCTTGAAAGCATCATCTTGCTTCCTAATTGTTAATTCTACAAATCACATCAGATTGTGTTGATTCGTTGTATTTCTTTTATTTTGAAACAATGTGTAATTATTTTGTTTTACGTTTATTTCTGCAGCTAATCACCACATGCATGGAATGAAACAGACAGCCAGTATTGTCGCTACTTTGATGCGCAAGGTATACCTTACACCTAAATACTGACAACATGATGAGTGAAGAAACTCAACATGATCAGTCAGGCTTGCACTGGAGGCACCAATAACCTTGGAAGAACACGTTCAAATTTCTGAACGTGCAGATCCTCATGTATCCTTGTTGTCTGAGATAGATAAGTTCTTGTGTTGGCCAGTAAAACTCAAGAAGAAACCCTGTAAATTCTCTAGAGAAAGGAAAGCAAAAGAAAACAAGCCACTGTGGAACTTCCATCGGAGTTTAGAACAGCCAGACTAGTGGGACATCAATTAGTCTGTAAAGTCTAACTAATAACAAGGCAAAGTCTACATTACTGAAAAACTGTATTTATATCCAGAGTTATTGTTGCTAATTGCTCAGTGAAAATTATACTTTTTAAATAAACAAATTAAGTTGTGTAAATTAGTGTGTTCTTCTGGTAGTGAGTGTTCTTCAAGGATAAATCTAAGCATTAAATTTGAATAATTGTCTTTAATAATATCTAATATAATTGTTGTAAATTATTTTGTTAGCTGACAAGTTTAACACCAAGTGAACAAAGAAGTTTGCAGGTATCTTGTAGAGTTTGTTTTATTTTCATACAAATGAACCTTATCAGGTAAAATGTCTTTCATTGCCATGAGTGATAACATTATCATGTAGAAATGTCTCATTACCGTGACTTTGAAGAAATTAGGTTAGAAAATTTTAGGAACGTGACCCCTCTTTGTTGAGCTGTTAGCATGCTTTTACCTCTTAGTATGACTAACAGATGACTTGATTTATGCATTTATTAACTGATTTCAGATTGTTGTTTCCAATACAAATGATAAAAATCAGTGTGTTTTCATTAGAATTAACTAAAATGTTCCTGATTTTCCGTTTATATTACCGATGGAAGATGTACACGTAAAACCGCTCTAATCCGGCTGAAACGTCGATATATGCAATAAAAACAGAACTTCTCGCTTTTTCAATATCTTACTCAGTTTTTTTCACGAGAAACAAATAGTTGATTGAAAATGAAGTATTTAATGTTACTTTCTAATCAATTATGTGTTTGCATCATTTTTATCGTATATATATTGAATTAATAACAATAAACTGAAAATTCACAAAAACATAGAAAAACGGCAAAAAATTGCCTAATTCGATAATATTTTGTTTAAATCACATAAAGGAAAAGAGGATGATAAACGTCAAAATATTGCTAAATTCAATGATTTTTAGTACAAAACAAAACGTAAGAAAACTTGCTTACAAATGCAATATTATGCGAAATTCTCAGATTTAAGTCCAAATCACATATCGTGAGAAAACATGAAGTATTATCGAAACATTGGTAAAAATGAATATATTTACGTCCTGAGCCTCTGCATCCCTCTCTTAAGCCTCTGCATCATTCTCTTCAGCCTCTGCATCACTCACTTAAGCCTCTGCATCATTCTCCTCAGCCTCTCCATCCCTAACTTGAGCCTCTGCATCCCACTCTTGAGCCTCTGCATCCCACTCTTGAGCCTTTGCATCACTCTCTTAAACCTCTGCATCCCTCTCTTGAGCCTCTGCATCACTCTTTTGATTCTCTGCATCCCTCTCTTAAGCCTCTGCATCCCTTGTCTTGAGCCTCTGCAACACTCTCTTGAGTCTCTTCATCCCTCTTTTAAGCCTCTGATCCTCTGCATCACTCTCTTGAGCCTCTGCATCACTCTCCTGAGCCTCTGCATCACTCTCTTGATCCTCTGCATCCCTCTCTTGAGCCTCTGAATCATTCTCCTAAGCCTCTCCATCCCTCACTTGAGCCTCTGCATCCCTCTCATGAGCCTCTGCATCCCTCTCCTGAGCCTTTGCATCACTCTCTTAAGCCTCTGCATCCCTTTCATGAGCCTCTGCATCACTCTCTTTTGAGTCTCTGCATCCCTCTCTTAAGCCTCTGCATCCACTCTCTTGAGCCTCTGCATCACCCTCTTGAGCCTCTGCATCACTCTCTTGAGCCTCTGCATCCCTCTCCTAAGCCTCTGCATCCCTCTTTTGAGCCTCTGCATCACTCTCTGCGGCTTCTGCATCACTCTCTTGAGCCTCTGCATCACTCTCTTGAGCTTCTGCATCACTCTCTTGAGCCTCTACATCCCTCTCTTGAGCCTCTGCATCACTCTCTTGAGCCTCTGCATCACTCTCTTGAGCCTCTGCATCACTCTCTTGAGTCTCTGCATCACTCTCTTGAGCCTCGGCATCCCTCTCTTGAGCCTCTGCATCACTCTCATCAGCCTCTGCATCCCTCTCTTGAGCCTCTGCATCCCTCTTTTGAGCCTCTGCATCACTCTCTCGAGCCTCTGCATCACTCTCTTGAGCCTCTGCATCCCTCTCTTGAGCCTCTCGATCACTCTCATCAGCCTCTGCATCCCTCTCTTGAGCCTCTGAATCCCTCTCTTGAGCCTCTGCATCACTCTTTCGAGCCTCTGCATCACTCTCTTGAGCCTCTGTTTCATCTCTCTTTAGCCTTTGCATCACTCTCTTGAGCTTCTGCATCACTCTCTTGAGCCTCTCTATCACTCTCTTAATCCTCTGCATCACTCTCTTGAGCTCCTGCATCACTCTCTTGAGCCTCTGCATCACTCTCTTGAGCCTCTGCATCCCTCTCTTGAGCCTCTGCATCATTCTCCTAAGCCTCTCCATCCCTCACTTGAGCCTCTGCATCCCTCTCATGAGCCTCTGCATCCCTCTCTTGAGCCTCTGCATCACTCTCTTATGCCGCTGCATCCCTTTCTTGAGCCTCTGCATCACTCTTTTGAGTCTCTGCATCCCTCTCTTAAGCCTCTGCATCCCTGTCTTGAGCCTCTGCATCTCTCTCTTAAGCCTCTGCATCACTCTCTAGAGCCTCTGCATCCCTCTCCTAAGCCTCTGCAACACTCTCTTCAGCCTCTGCATCACTCTCTTAAGCCTCTGCATCCCTCTCTTGATCCTCTGCATCACTCTCTTGAGCCTCTGCATCACTCTCTTGAGCCTCTGCATCCCTCTCTCAAGCCTCTACATCATTCTCTTGAGCCTCTGCATCACTCTCTTCAGCCTCTGCATCACTCTCTTGAGCCTCTGCATCCCCTCTCTTAAGACTCTGCATCACTCTCTTAAGCCTCTGCATCACTCTCTTGAGCTTCTGCATCACTCTCTTGAGCCTCTGCATCCCTCTCTTCAGCCTCTGCATCACTCTCTTAAGCCTCTGCATCATTCTCTTGATCCTCTGCATCACTCTCTTGTGTCTCTGCATCACTCTCTTGAGCCTCTGCAACACTCTCTTCAGCCTCTGCATCACTCTCGTAAGGCCTCTGCATCACTCACTTAAGCCTCTGAATCCCTCTTTTGAGCCTCTGAATCCCTCTTTTGAGCCTCTGCATCACTCTCTCGAGCCTCTGCATCACTCTCTTGATCCTCTGCATCACTCTCTTGAGCCTCTGCATCTCTCTCTAGAGCCTCTGCATCACTCTCTTCAGCCTCTGCATCACTCTCCTAAGCCTCTGAATCCCTCTCTTGAGCCTCTGCATCACTCTCTTGAGCCTCTGCATCATTCTCTCGAGCCTCTGCATCACTCTCTTGAGCCTCTGCATCACTCTCTTCAGCCTCTGCATCCCTCTCTTGATCCTCTGCATCACTCTCTTGAGCCTCTGCATCACTCTCTTCAGCCTCTGCATCACTCTCTTGAGCCTCTGCATCACTCTCTTGAGCCTCTGCATCCCTCTCTTGAGCCTCTGCATCACTCTCTAAGCCTCTGCATCACTCTCTTGAGCCTCTGCATCACTCTCTTGAGCCTCTGCATCACTCTCTTAAGCCTCTGCATCACTCTCTTAAGCTTCTGCATCATTCTCTTGAGCCTCTGCATCCCTCTCTTGAGCCTCTACATCACTCTCGTAAGCCTCTGCATCACTCTCTTGAGCCTCTGCATCCCTCGCTTGAGCCTCTGCATCACTCTCTTGAGCCTCTGCATCACTCTCTTAAGCCTTTCACTCTATCCCTGCATTCTTGAGCCTCTGCATCACTCTTTTAAGCCTCTGCCTCCCTCTCTTGAGCCTCTGCATCCCTCTCGTGAGCCTCTGCATCCCTCTCTTGAGCCTTTGCATCACTCTCTTAAGCCTCTGCATCACTCTCTTTAGCCTCTGCATCCCTCTCTTGAGCCTCTGCATCCCTCTCTTATGCCTCTGCATCACTCTCTTAAGCCTCTGCATCACTCTCTTGAGCCTCTGCATCCCTCTCTTATGCCTCTGCATCACTCTCTTGAGCCTCTGCATCACTCTTCAATCTTTGCATCCCTCTCTTGAGCCTCTGCATCATTCTCCTAAGCCTCTGCATCACTCTCATGAGCTTCTGCATCACTCTCTTGAGCCTCTGCATCCCTCTCTTAAGCCTCTGCATCACTCTCTTACGCCTCTGCATCACTCTCTTTAGCCTCTTCATCACTCTCTTGAGCCTCTGCATCACTCTCTTGAGCCTCTGCATCACTCTCTTAAGCCTCTGCATCACTCTCCTGAGCCTCTGCATCACTCTCTTGAGCCTCTGCATCACTCTCTTGAGCCTCTGCATCCCTCTCTTGAGCCTCTGCATCATTCTCTTAAGCCTCTGCATCCCTCACTTGAGCCTCTGCATCCATTCTCATATGAGCCTCTGCATCCCTCTTTTGAGCCTTTGCATCACTCTCTTAAGCCTCTGCATCCCTCTCTTGAGCCTCTGCATCACTCTCTTGAGCCTCTGCATCCCTCTCTTAAGCCTCTGCATCCCCTCTTGAGCCTCTGCATCACTCTCTTGAGCCCCTGCATCACTCTCTTGAGCCTCTGCATCCCTCTCTTAAGCCTCTGCATCCTCTCTCTTGAGCCTCTGCATCACTCTCTTGAGCCTCTGCATCACTCTCTTGAGCCTCTGCATCCCTCTCTTAAGCCTCTGCATCACTCTCTTCAGCCTCTGCATCACTCTCTTAAGCCTCTGCATCCCTCTCTTGAGCCTCTGCATCACTCTCTTGAGCCTCTGCATCATTCTCTTGAGCCTCTGCATCACTCTCTTCTGCCTCTGCATCACTCTCTTAAGCCTCTGCATCTCTCTCTTCAGCCTCTGCATCACTCTCTTGAGCCTCTGCATCCCTCTCTTAAGCCTCTGCATCACTCTCTTAAGCCTCTGCATCACTCTCTTGAGCCTCTGCATCCCTCTCTTGAGCCTCTGCATCACTCTCTTAAGCCTCTGCATCACTCTCTTGAGCCTCTGCATCACTCTCTTGAGCCTCTGAGCTCTGCATCCCTCTCTTAGGCCTCTGCATCACTCTCTGAAGCCTCTGCATCCCTCATATGAGCCTCTGCATCCCTCTCTTATGTCTCTGCACCACTCTCTTATGCCTCTGCATCACTCTCTTGAGCCTTGACATCCCTCTCTTAATCCTCTGCATCACTCTCTTGAGCCTCTTCATCACTCTCTTCAATCTCTGCATCCCTATCTTGAGCCTCTGCATCATTCTCCTAAGCCTCTGCATTACTCTCTTGAGCTTCTGCATCACTCTCTTGAGCCTCTGCATCCCTCTCTTAAGCCTCAGCATCACTCTCTTGAGCTTCTGCATCACTCTCTTGAGCCTCTGCATCCCTCTCTTAAGCCACTGCATCACTCTCTTAGGCCTTTGCATCACTCTCTTTAGCCTCTGCATCACTCTCTTGAGCCTCTGCATCACTCTCTTGAGCCTCTCCATCACT